ACATTACGTTTACTTTGTACTATAAGTTGCGGCCGGGAAACGATCCGCTCGTTCCCCGAACGTTCGAGGTCCCGCTTTGCGACATCGCTACGCCGTGTGTTTACTTCCTCTTCATCTTCGTCTCCTTCATCTTCTTTTTGTCGCCTCCGTATCTTCTTTTTGCTTTTTTTCTTTTTTTTTTCCTTTCATTGCTCCGTCAATTTTAAATATGCTTATGCGTGCGTGATACATGTATTATGTAATCATTATCAACTACGGTATAGTACTATTATATACTATACGAGCAAACGGTACAGTAGTTGCCGGTGCACTCTCTGCGCGCGGTGTAGGTGCAATGATGACATCAATTTTGCTCCCTCACTCTCCTCCCGCGGGCAGCCGCAAATTCTTTTTTCTCTATCTGTCCTGAAGCTCGCTGCCCGCGCGATGCGAATGATAATGAAGGTTCCTCGTTACGGAAAGCCCGTTCACACCGTGACAATCGTCTATTTCGACGTGCTCGAACGACGTGCAGCTTGGAATATTGCGGTCGAATCATTGTAATATAATATTATTAATTCAACGACAATCTTTACAATCCGATACAACATTCGAATCTTTGGCCGAAAGAATCAAAACGAGACTTTTTTTCTCGCCGAATTTTTGTGTCAACAATGCGTTTTGAATTTTCTTAATTTCGAAGATACTGATCAATTTAGAGATGAGTACCATGTTCTGGAAATTTTGAATTACTCGCGAATTTCTTTTCTATTCTGATCTATATCCGACTTTCTCGTACGAGCGAGCCACGGTGTGAACACCTCTCGTCTCTCGTGTCAAGCCTTGTGTCACACACGACATCTATAAAGGATTCTCAATCCGTAAAACACATATTATAGAAACAACATGCAACATTTTATCCTACCGCCGTGATACAATAATGGTACATACATACGCGTACGCGCGTCGCGCGAGTGTCGTGTACGTGCGTGTGTGTGTGTGTGTGTGTGTGTGTGTGTGTGTACGTGTGTGTATCTCTGCGTGTACATATATATACATATAGACCAAATATAATTCTTACACTGGATGTACGACGGACCGTGAAAACTTGGGAAAACGAAAGCGCGCGCATTTCGTTCCGCACACTTTCGACCTCCGATCGCAAATCCGTCTTTTGCGCGTATCTCGACGAAAATCGACTGTAACAGTGAATTTGGAGTATCATCCTCGAGCAGGAGATGCTCGGGATTGACGAGTTCGAGGAGAATCGCGAGAGGAAAAGATAAACAATAAAAGTATCGTAATTTCGTTTCGACAGCGCGTTCAAGAATCATTCGATTACTTTTGAGCAAAGCGATACGACGAAATCATGAATGGCGATTCATAATCGATTTGAGTGAAATTGCCGATTTTCGGCCGTTCCAAATACGTTTACGTGCGTAACCGACGTCGCGATAATATTACGACTAATTAATTCTAAATTTTCACTTTAATTCTACGTGATTTATCTTTTAGGTACGTACCGTGTCCTTCTTTACTTTACTCTTATAATTTCCTCGACCGACATTGCCTCTCGCTCTTCCGATCTGCTGTATGTGTACGTGTGTATTTTGTGTGAGTGTCGGGTGTGAAATATACCTTTACTACGTATGCACTTTTAATCCTTACGTATGACAAAACAATTAAACCCTGGGTTTAACCGACTCCCTCCCCTTCGGAAATTCCGCATCTGACGTTATTATTCTAACTTTCGAATTTCGCCCCTCCACTCTGCCGATAACTCGATCCCTCTACTTAAACTTAACGCTAATTCATTGTACCACTTAAAGGTATCCTTCCCTCCTCCCGCCTTTGCCTCTGCTTAGCAGAACAGCCGAAAACAATATATATATTTTGTATATATATTAAGTAAAAGATTCATTATATAACTTGGCATACGCGACCGTATATCTATTTACACGAACATGTGTGTGCTGTCCACGTGCGTGTGTACGTATGTCTCTCCCATAACTCTCTCTCTCTCTCTCTCTCTGTATGTACGTGTATGTACGTGTGTGCGCGTGTGTGTATGTTCCTATCATCACATACGTAAACGACACATAACATCTTTGAATATCCTTTTCCCGTGGTTTCTCCCCCGGGAATTAACTTCTCTATGACTATGTAATCTCCGTCGTCCAGCATCATTAATCCCATCCCCGGCGATTAAGTTCCCTTTACGCTCCCTTGGGACAATCGATGTCACCTACGCTCGAATAATTTTCGCTTTCCTCTACCACCGTTTCATCAGCGCATCGGCGCTAATCTCGCCGATCAATTCGACGATCACAACACTATTCCGTATTATTATCATCTCTTTCAATTCATCCTCGGGATGAAAACGGTGCGATCAGTCGCGTTGCTTCAGCAACGTCCGTTTCGGATGATTTCGCATTGCAATTTTGACAACGGCGCATAATTGCGGCTGTTCCCGCGAATCGCTTCACGCGCGCATTCACGGCTGCTCATGCATATGTGTACGCACTCGCTCGCTCTCGCGCTCACTCACTACGGCTTCATACATTGTTGTACATACATGTTGTGTTATTTCAATAATGTGCCCTCGCGACAAAAAAAAAACGGAAAGAAAATGGATACCTATTTTACGTACAGATAGACATCACGTGCGCGAATCGAAGATCCCGGAGCTTTTCGGACGAATGAACTTCGTGGGACGGGGAATGATTGTGACGAAGAAACAAGAAATCGAATGCGTTTGACTAGCGTGAATGGATTCTGATTTACGATACAAGCGAAGCATGTAGCAATTGAAATTAATCTACGATCTCTCTGTAAGCTCCGAGATCCACGATCTGGCGTTGCCCTCTGCAAGAGGGTAGCAATGGCAGGAGAACTGCTCCGACATTAACCGGACAAAGTAGTAGTAATAGTAGTAGTAATAATAGTAGCGGCTGTACGGAATGTACAGGTATTTATTGTACTGTATAATATATCGCTATTGTGTTCCCTGTGTGTAATGCATTGCAAAACGATGAGGTAGTACTGTCATACTTTTGGCAGAGTTATGCGCGCGCGTGCGCGACGAGTGCTCACGTATATTTGGCATGTTGAATGTTATAAGAAAACGGGGGAAAAAAGAAGAAGGAAAGAGAAAAGGAAAAAAAAACAAAAATAAAAGTAAAAAAAAAAAAATAAAAGAACGGAAATGAACTCTCTTCGGCTTCTATCTCGTGTACTATTATATCCCCAGCTCCGCGCACGACGCGCTCTTTAAACACTAAATAATTCTCTCTATATCGTCTCTATTGTCTCTGATAACTTACGGTAGGCGGATATCGTTGTGAGAATAACCGTTTAAAAACTTTCTGTGAAAGAAGAAAAAAATAAACGATAGGGAGAACAAGAATACGGAACAAAAATAAGGCAGATTAATCTGTATAAAGTGTAAATACTGTAACAAGTAATATCGTGGGTGCCATCCTGACTAGGAGTATATCTCTATATATCTATACATATAGGTAATGTGTAATATAAATCTATTGCATTGATCACATCTCATACAACCGGGATAGCAACTATTTCGCGCGTAATCACGCGCACTGTTTAAGATCACACGTGTGTGCGATCGATGGCTATACTCTATATTCACGGTACGCGACTATTGCTCCGGACAAAAGTCCGCATTTTAAACATTGTAAACAGGTAACAAAGTGGTAGTGATCGTTTCGCCGCGAGGCATCTCGCAGCTGTTGCGACAAACTTCCATGGCGAATGCGCGTTCGTTTTCTTCATTTTTATCATTGTTTTCTAGAAAAATCAATGTCGACATAGTAATTATAATGATGTATCAATATAATGATGATTATTGCTCGGTCGACGCGCTTCTTCTAGCTGCACGCATTCGCCAAGAAGTATTTCTGCGCAAACAGCTGCGCGTGGCTCACCCACGGCTAATCGCACGACAGTCGTCCGCCCTAGAATCGCAGTAATCTCTCGTAAACGTTATATATAAAATCGTAACTGTATAAATGGTGTGTGTGTGTACTTCGTCGGGTGTCGTCTCGGCGCGATTTCGGATATGTGGGTCTCAGCGCGATTATTATATAATAGTGGAGTGCGTCTTTTGTATAACGCGGGTGTATAAAAAGGCGAAACTGAAAATTGACGTGTGATGATTACTCCAGAGTAGAAAAAGCGTCTTGTCTTTGGCACTGGTGCGCGCGTAAACGTAACGTGTTAGATTATAGGTGTCGCCGATCGGAACGTCGCGATCCTACATAGGCTCGACGCTTTTCAACAGCGATAGTAGTACCAGAAACAGGTAAAACCCCGGTTAAAACGGCGTTAACGTTAATTAATGCGACGGCGAGTATATAATCCGATCTATGAAGTTGAACTATTAAAGTAGAGGTATAGCGCGTTTTCTCTCCTGGCGCTGCAGTTCGTGCCACGATTTAAGTTTACCTGAGTTTGCATTGGTTCTCTCGTCGCAGTCGCCTGCGCTATAACGGCTCTGCGTGTACGTGTTTATGCGCCATATTCGCCGCTCAGCTCCACCCGCTATCTCTCGCGTCTCTCGTTTAAAAGCTCCTAGTTAATAATCCTTACTTGACCGTTGCACTTTCATTGACTAGCTTTGTGATTCGCAGCGTTTTCGCGAGCGTGCTCGAGGCGCCGTGCGCATCGTTGTTCCGTGCCTCCTCCATGTGTCTCTTGCCCCATACGAATCTTCATAGTCGTGCCCCTCGTTGTGACCTCTCGACGATTCCAGACGCGCACGCGGAGAGATCGCTCTCGCGACGAGGAATCGGGACGGCGTTCGCTGACGACGACGAAGGGAAAACGAAGGTACCTAAACTGCAGCCTCTCTTCTCGTCTCGTACGCTCTAACCGCGGTCCAGTCTCGTGGTCGGCTCTGATGAAGTGGTCATCGGGATTGTTGCTTCCGGTACCACCGCACGTGGACCACGATGGCGACCGCGGTAGCGACGGCGAGAATGACAGCGACGCCGAAGACATTGTTACTGGAGCACAGTGTCCGAGACCGAATGATTGGACTGCTGAAAATCCTTCATACTGAGCTCGATTTTGTGCTCTCGCGCAATATGCCGTCTGACGGTATTGTTCCTGGTGAACGTCCGCGTGCAGAACGGACACGGCACTCTAATGCCCTGGTGACGTTGTCGCACGTGAGCGCGTAGATTCGTCTCGTAGCCGTACAGTCTCTCGCAGAAGGGGCACTTCAATTTCTTACCTGGAAAAATAGAAAGATTTCTTTACAAATACAGCTCGTTAAATAAATCGTGAGCAAATTATACCTACGATTATTCGGCACTAAATTACTATCGGCCATAAACAAACAGCAAATATGAACGCAATAATGTTCAAAAGAGTATAAGCGTCGCTCATATACGTGGCGGTTAAAAATATTAATAGACACGAAAAATATTTCACGGAACTGTCTCCAGCGTGATACACATCGGTATCGCACAAAAGACTTGGCATAAAAAAATCTTTTATTTTTTTTTTTTTTCAATGTAGTTAAAATTTTTCTACGATTGCCCGATTTAATTGACACGTAAGCCTATGAACTAATCATAGTGTTCTACGTATAAACGCGCGTGTAATGCCACAACGAAACCTTCGTGGAAGGAAGACTGAATGCAGATTGCGCAACCCAGCTTCTCTTCTTCCTTCTCTTTCTTTTACACACATACACAGTTTTTTTTTTCTGCCAGTGCGCAGCCGCGCTTCGCCATTAGCCCCATCGGCGAGAAGAAAACAAAGTTCAGACTGAGGCGAACGATTCATGGTGGAGCATTAGGCCAATGCCTCCGAGATTGTTGGCGCGTGCAAGGCCAACCTCGGGCTCCAATATACTTCCCATCCAACCCGATTAACTTGCGCCCGAAGTACCATTTACGGCAACCGCCGCGCCGCCGATTCGATCTCCTCGCTACGCGCGAAACCGATCGACAAGCGATCTCTAGCTCCGATGCTTGAAATATATTAAAATATTTGTACTTATACTTAGACGTTGAAAAGAGAAGAGACAAGGATACTGAGTGTAAAAAGTGCAAGCAACGCAAATAGACTTTTTGTCATATATGTATGGTACATATACGCAGCCCGCATATGTCATGTTACACTAAACCCGAAAGTGTAGTAGTAATTTTTCAGACCTTGGTTATTGTACGATACTTTTCTTGCTACGCAATACGTAACGACGCATTATAATAATGTAATATCATTTTCTGAAATTATAGTTATTATTATTTTAATATACTATTTTTAAAACTGACGGATTTAAAAATTGTTGAAGCAATGAAATTGAATTACAAATCATATTATTAGCTGAACTAAATGCTTAAATATGTGTTAGGAATTTCAGAAAAAATGTTACTCGAAAAAAACGTGACACATAATTAAATGCTGCTTCTATTCAAGGTCGATATAAATTATGATATGCGTTATAAAGATGTACCATTCTATAAAAGCATATACATAATGTCTTTTTTTAATTTATCGCCATGTAGGAAAAAATAAGAATAATTTTTATCTATCTATATCCAAAAAAATACTGTTAGATTTGCACAACATGGGGAACTTGTGCGATAAAAGTTAAAACAACTTTTGCTATTAGCATATTTCATAGCTAACGTTATTATACCAACGGTAGCTGGCCGTGACACCGTCCTCGAACTTCATCCCAATGTATAAGTAAGAAGCTCATTGTGAGGTCCGCACTGTATCAATGACGCGCCTCCGAGTGAGAAGCGCGTTAGTCTCATCGCCCGTTAACCCACACGAGATTTCTCTTTGTCTAATCCCAAAGAGATGCGGCGACGTTCTCAAACGCTCGGGTCATCGTGACATCATCGGTCCCTAACAGCGGCATTGCACGCGCGCGCGTTTAACAATAATAATAAGTTCTAGCGTAATTCTATGCTGAATCACAGTCGATGAATTGGCCGACTGAAATTCGCGTTTGCGAGCATAGCTGAACGGGGGCCATTCACCAACGGGCTGCGCGTGACACACCGTGTCATTACCGAAATTATATAGATTAATCGGAAACAGTTCGGTGGAGAGTCGAAGGAGAAAAAAATGAGGAGACCGCCCATCATCGAGGCCGTTCTCTCTTAAACGGAAGGATTCCTCGCTACAGCGATTCAGGTGTCACGAGAGATGGCAGAGAAAAATGCGAGTGATGAGAAGATACCGCGCCGGAACGAGTCAGTCACACGCTAGAATATCGTAAAAATTGCTGCCACATTCTATGCTTAAATAATCGTCGGCATAAGTGATGCACGTATACACAAAGAAATATCATTGTGTTGTTAAAAAAATACTTACTCGATTTATTTTTCCCTTTTGAGTAACGGTTATTTTTAACAAAAAATATTATAAAATTGAAACGATTTTATATAATAAGTGTAAAATAAAGTTGTGTTAATTTAATAATTTTGATTAAAATATTAAACTTACTACGATTTAAAATATTTTTGAATAAATTGTAATGGACTTAGATTTGTGAATTTTTTAAATAATGAAACGAGTATATGTATATAATTATTACTTCTGTACAATAAATATTTTTCTACGATCATGACGACACATTTTGTAAAAATAAAAAAACAGATTTAAAAAAATTTTCTTCCAGTATTCGTGGCTTATGAGAAATATTTCTTTTTTTCAACCATCTCGATCATGATGTTTTAAAATTGTTATTTACAGTGCATTTGTTATCTATATAGTATCACCCTCCCATCACTTATGCAACGTCGCGATTTATTCGTTCGATACGCAAACTGCGTTCGATGTCAACTTGACGCGTGGAATAAACGACCACATTTATCATTAAACATGCGCCGAAAATACAGGCGAATGACGATATCAGTCGCGGCGAAAAAAAAACAAGGTGTGCGCGTGTTACGTACGGAACCGCGCCGGCTCCTCGGCGGCGGACTGCGCCTAAAAATAGTGGGCCGTGGCATCCTAGAAAATGTAAACGGGGCCGCGGGGCAGCACACACGGTCTCGTGCAGCTGACTATGAAATTCACAAAGGACCCGCGCGCCGGAACAAAGGCACTCGTACGTGCGAAGATGCCGTAAGCCGGAAGAGAGAGAAGGAGAGGAGAGTGGCCGGACGGGCCCCGAAAGAGAGAGAGAGAGGGGAGAGGAAGAGGGCTTGTGAGGAGGATCATTGGCATAAAGAGAAAGGGCAGGCGGGACGCGAGGCTGCGGGGTAGATACGCCCCTGAAACATGCAGAAACGCAAAACGATGCCGGTTAGGAAGCGGGACGCTTCTGGGAAAGGTACCGTGCCATCTGCGCCGCCCAAGAAATCGCCGATCCGTCGCTCGGGTCTCGCGTTTATCGATGATTACCACACATAACTGCGTCTCCGAGAGTATCGAGGTGCGAGCCATGCAGTGCCGAAATTCTTGGAAAATTCGCGAATTTTATTCCGCGCGAAAATACCTCGTCAGAATCGAGGTACGGTCTCTAGCTAGATTGTTCGAGATTTTACAATTCGAGGAAATGTCATCGTCCGAATCTGTCCTAGAAAACGAAGTTTGTCTTTCCTTCCGCGCGTTATTAAACCGTTATTATGAGGGGCTCGAACGAACACTCGGAAAATAATTAAACGATCCAATTAGTCTCCCAAGCCCGGGAGACTACTCGCTCGCGCCTCGAATTATCGTCACGTCCCGGGGAGGATCGCTGAGGGCCACTGAGTCGATGGTCTGGAAGGATGCGAAAGGGGATACGGCGATTTAGAGCAAGCCTCCAATTCTTGGAGGAATCGTGCGTGTTTGACCGGAGGGCTTGGAGAAGGAGGAGGCGGAGGAGCGAGGGAAAAAGCAAGAGAGAGAGAGAGAGGGGGGGGGGGGGAAGGATGAACAGGCGATGGGGAGGCGGCAAAATAGAAAGGTTAAGTTACGAAACGCAACGGCAGCCTCCAAGGTCTCCCCCGTTCCTCAATCCCCACACCTCATCGGTCGACCTGACCCTTTTTTCCCTTTTCGGTTGAATGGATCGAACAAACATGTAACGTAAAGAGTGACTTCTGATACACGCAGCCCTAAAGCGCAGCTATTCACCGCGACTTTACTGCAATCGATCGCAGGCCCGAACGCTGCTATCAAGCGTATCACTGTTATCAGCGTACGATCCTGTCCTCCCGGCCCTCCCGGATGCGTAGCGATCACGCCCGCGCCTCCGCTGATATCTTATGCGCTGACGCGTACGTAATCGAGCTGGGAAAATGGAGAGAGAGATGGTATCGTGTAACTCGAAACAGTTCAGGGACGCAAAATAGAGTGCTTTCCAATTGCTTGTTACAAATGGAGTGCACAAAGTATTGTGTATGATTTGATTGGAATAGAATGTGTCACGATTTCCAATAGAATTAAGGTCAGTATTTATAGTCGATTTTTATATTTCAGACTGTCTTAAGTACGGTCTTAAAATGTCAGCCAGAGAATTGTTTTAGTATTTAGACGTTACTTAAGACGGTCTTAAAATAAGAATAGACTATGAATACCGCTCTAAATGTAGCTTCTCCAGCTTGTATTGAATGAACAAAGAAAAGCAAAAATGCCGATCGCCCAATATTCTTCAATATTTATAGCTATCGTGATTAATAATATACAAAAAGGGACAATAAGTCATTTATCTAAGCTTAAGTCTTAAACCGTAAAAAAGTGACCAATCACAGTTGAATGTGAGAAGAATAATTGACTATGATTGGTCTATTTCTTACCATTTAAGACTTAAAGCTTAGATAACGACTTATCGTAGAAAATCCACAATTGTCATTAGAAAACAGAAGCTTTTACAGAACCGATTAGTAACTCTCGGGCTGAGTATGGATGTAGTGTTGTGTCGATGACAACGGCAATTAAAACTCAACTTGTGCCGCCATGTACACGAAAATTTCTAGTAATTTGACAACTGGGAAGCATCGATTGGTAGAAAATAACATGATAACGATTATCTATTTTGCGATAGCAGATTTGATATAAGAATGATGAAATAGCTAGATCCAGTCTCTGGATATATTGCAGATTTCCATTATGTAAAAATACAGGTCCTGAATCAACCGAGTCACCCTGCGGAAAGTTAAAAATGCTGCGTACGCAGACAGAATAGAATGACGCGTGTGCGTATGCGAAAGCGCTGTGTAGCGCTGCTCGCCAGGCCTTGACACATTTCGTTCGGTGGCGCCAAATTGGTCGCCGCTTAGA